TCCTCATTGAGCCCCCAGAGAAAAGCAGTCAGTCACTCCTGTCTCTCCAGGTTCCTCCTGCATTCCCTGCTCACCCGGCCTGTGACTGAGCGTTTGTATCTCTGGCAAATGACCCCGTGTGGAGTCTCCCATCCCTGCGGTGTGCTCCCGCGCCGCTCCTCCTGGGGAAGGGGAGTCACCCTGTATCTGCCACTTGTTGGGTCCCTGCTGGAGGAGCAGTGGCCCAACTGCCGTGGATCATGGTTTATGGCAATCCTGAGCTGAGAGCCCACTCCTCTGCTCTGTGTCTGCAGCAGGCTTCCCTGTTCTGAAACCTGGGAGCTCTGCCACACTCAGGCACCCTCGGTCTTTCTTTGACCCCAAGGGTCCGGAGTCCACACTCTCTTGCGAGGGTTCCACCCACCGCTTAGCCACTGGAGCGACGTCCCTCAGCAGAGCCGACTTCTAAAAGTTCCCATTTTGTGCTTCACTGCTCTGTCACTTGCCAGTAGTGGCCAACGGAGGCCCCCTCCTCCGCCATCTGTCTTCCTGAATATCGCCTCGGATTCACTTCTCCCTACGTCCTACGTTCCAGAAAGTGGTTGCTTTTCTGTTCAGAGAGTTGTTGCTATTCTTTTCTTCGATCTCCTGTTGAGTTCGTAGGTGTTCAGAATGGTTTGATCCCTATCCAACTGAATTCCTGGAATCATAGGAAATCCAGGTTTCCTACTCCTCTGCCATCTTGCTCCTCCCCCCAGAAACATTTTGTCATTTAGAATTTCTCACAACAACTCTAAGAGATAAATATAATATGTATTATTTTTACAGCTAAGAACTTAAGCTTGAACAGTGGAATTGGTTCAGATTCCACTTAGGGTTTCTCTTGTATAATGCTATACCTATATTGCCCTTTGCTGACCTGTTTTCCTTAAATATTCTTACAGTAAATGTGTGATAGTAAAATAACACAAGTTGCTGTTCTGATGGCATTTTATATTGTGTTTTTGACAGTTTAAAGCGACGTTTCCCAACCTTGTCACTAATGCCATTTGGGGCCAGAAAATTCTTTGTTGTATGGAGCGGGAGCTTTCCTGTGCAGTATCAGGTTTTTAGCAGCATCTCTGGCCTCTGTTCACTAGTGACAGTAGCTCCGCTAGCCCCAGTTGGTTTTTTTTTTTTTTTTTTAAAGATTTCATTCATCTATTTGTCAGAGAGAGAGAGAATGTGCGTGCACACAAAAGCATGGGGAGCGGCAGGGAGAGGGAGAAGCAGGTTCCCTACTGAGCAAGGAGCCCTTTGTAGGACCCTGGGATCATGACCTGAGCCAAAGGCAGACGTTTAACCGACTGAGCCAAACAGGCATCCCTCCCCCAGCCTCAGTTGTGACAACTAAGGATATCTCCAGATGTTGTCAGATATCCGCACAAGGACAGAATCATTCTGAGTTGAGAACCAGACTTAGAATTAAGAAAATCATGTTCTTTTACAGATTTTAGAAGATATAGCTCATCTAGAGTATTCAAAAGTCTTAATGCTTTCAAAATAAGCTTCATGTGAGTTGGTTACTTGGCTAAGGGTAAGTTTATACAGACAACCCTGTGGAAGGTGATTATATACCTTTGGCCACTTCGTATGCCATCTTGGTAACTACCCATTGACATTCTAGTAATAAACAGGTGAGGTGGTATTTTAAGGTTATACATAAGTTCACAGGGCTTATTTTATTAATTCAACCATATTAAATGAAATTCATTGTTATGTAACTCTTGGTCTTTACACATCTAAGATGTTTTAAAAATTATGTTTTTTTTATGGGTGAATAGTATGCTTTGTTAATTATTCAAGCTGCTATTAACAAAAAACTGTCTATGTCTTTCTCTATTAAAAGACATAGTAGGGGCGCCTGGGTGGCTCAGTCGGTTGAGCGACTGCCTTCGGCTCAGGCCATGATCCTGGAGTCCTGGGATCGAGTCCCGCATCGGGCTCCCCGCTCAGCGGGGAGTCTGCTTCTCCCTCTGACCCTCCCCCCTCTCATGCGCTCTCTCTCTCTCTCTCTCTCTCTCATTCTCTCTCTCAAATAAATAAATAAAATCTTTAAAAAAAAAGACATAGTAGTTTTCAAAATTCTAAGAATGGAAAGGTGCTTTGAGCTAATTACTTTGAAATGAGTTAACGAATTGTTGACTTTTAGGTAACAAGTAAATGATCCCTTGGAGTGTATCTAATCATGTGTGTTAATTGCTGGCTTCTCTTCTCTTCTCTCTTCCATTTCCCTCTCCTCCTCCCCTCACTCCTTTTTACCATTAATTACTGTTTATCAGTTTCTTGTTTTACCCCAGACACTTGGCTGGACATTATGTATATTATTTCCTTTTATATCTACTACATCCTGTGAGCTGAGTACCCTCGTTTTACAGAAGGAAATTGGGACTCAGAGAAGTCAGATCACTTGCCCAGAGTCACATAGTTAACAAGTGTGCCAATTAATATTTATAGTCAGGGATGTCTAACTTCAGTGCATGTGTGCTTCAGCACTGTTCTGGTGCTTAACAGATTTGGCCTCTTAACAGAATTGCCAGGTGAGTTTTAAACACAATATACCCAGACCTCCTTCCAGCTGTATTGGATAGAGTCTCTGTGTCTTCAGGCCCAGAATTGAGATTGAGAGGGAAGAGCCCTGAATTAAAATTGTCAAAATCTTTTTTTCTTTAAAAAAAATTTCCCCCCTCCATTTGTCCTTTACATAACTTTGAAAAAACTTAACTTTTTGGAGACTCAGTTTCTTCATCTGTAAAATGCAAATTTTAGTCTAACAGTAATTATCTCGCCTACTTCATAAAATTATTGTGAAGAATGAAAGGTCTTACTAGTTTGCGTTGGTATATCATTTTATTTTATTTATTTATTTATTTATTTTTATAGATTTTATTTATTTATTTGACAGAGAAAGCGAGAGAGGGAACACAAGCAGGGGGAGTGGAAGAGGGAGAAGCAGGCTTCCTGCCGAGCAGAGAGCCTGATGCGGGGCTCGATCCCAGAACCCTGGGATCATGACCTGAGCCGAAGGCAGACGCTCAATGACTGAGCCACCCAGGTGCCCCGATATATCATTTTATAGCACTCAGCAACTGCAGTATAAATGTTATTCATCAGTGGGCTTCTCCAGGGTAGGAACAGTGTTCTGTATTATCTCCTGTGTTTGTTTATTTTGGTATTGTAAGTGTCTAGGGTGGTGTAGTAGGCCCTCAGTAGGCACTGATTTTATTGAATGAATGAGGAATGAATAAACAAATGCTACAAAAATATAGTAGCTCTGGGGGCACTTTCATTCCTCAGAACTCTACCTTTCCCATGGTTTTCTGCTGTGATGCTTCAGCAGCCTGGAGAATTTCTTTAGGTATTCCATTGCCTGGCTTCCATGAGTAAATGTGTTGTTACATGTAGTTTTTCCCTGCCATTCCCCTAATGGTAAGAGTGGCTCCTGCAGTTATTTTACTGCCATTATGTATCTGCTTCTCTCAGACTGGTCTGATCTCTATATAATCACTATAGTGGACTTTTATCTTCTGGAACAACAGTATCAGATAAAAGAAGACTTATATTTTTGTTTGCTTTATTCCATACTTTTACCCTTAGCTTAAATATTTCTTGTCTTTTTTGTTTTTATTTTGAATTCCCTTTCAGGTATTAAAGCTAGTAAGTTACTTTATTTTTAATATTACTTCTATCTCAGGGCGCCTGGGTGGCTCAGATGGTTAAGCATCTGCCTTTGGCTCAGGTCATGATCCCAGGGTCCTGGTATCGAGCCCCACATCGGGCTCCTGGCTCAGCAGGGACCCTGCTTCTCTCCTTCTCCCTCTGCCTCTCCCTGCTCATGCTCTCTCTCTGTATCTCTGTGTCTCAAATGAATAAATAAAATCTTTAAAAAAATATATTACTTCTATCTGGAAATAAGATTGTTGCTATTAGACGGGCCAAGATATCTTACTAGCCCTCTTGAGTTGTGAAGTAGCTGTGAGGGAATACTTGGGCTTTGTACGCTAGGAGCAGTTTATGTTATATGCCTCATAAATACCTCAGAGATTAATTTATCCTTAATAACTACATTTATTTCATTAAAATAGATTAAATTTGGTTATTTGATATATGAAAATAATTTAACTTCCAAATTAAATTTTGCAAAAGTAACACCTAGATAACAATGTTTATAAAGTAAACTAAAAACTAAATTTACTTGGTTTACTGATGCAAAATCTATTAAAAAAGTTTTAGTTAGGTGAAAATCCTTTAAGAAGTCTGCTAATAGGAGACTGATTTAAAGGGCACCTGGGTGGCTCAGTCATTGAGCATTTGCCTTCGGCTTAGGTCATGATCCTGGGGTCCTGGGATCAAGCCCTGTTGTGTTGGGCTCCCTGCTGGGCGGGAAGCTTGTTTCTCCTCTCCCACTCTGCCTGCTTGTGTTCCCTCTCCTGCTGCCTCTCTCTCTGTCAAATAAATAAATAAAATCTTAAAAAAAAAAAAAGGACACTGATTAAATAAACTGTGGGTCAACTATGCAGTGGAATGCATATTCCTACTATGTTGTAGGAAAGAATGAGGATACTCCCTGTTATTGATACAGAAAAACTTTGTTAAGGAAAAAAAAAATCAAAGTGTATCAAAAAGGAGGAAAAAATTATAGTATATTTTATTTGCTTGAACATGCTGGAAAAACTCAAGAAAGATACAAAAATAACTAATAAAAGTAGTTATGTAACCTGAGATTTGGGGTAGGGGAAACAGGATGGCTAAAGATAAGAGTAGGAATAGAGTTTTCACAGTCTTAATACCTATTTTAAAAATTACTCAGCATTATGGATGTTTTCAACTACTGAGAATAAAGAAAGTGTATATATATATCCTGTGTCTGTTATATATATAGGATATATAAAATTGTTATTATATATATATGGATATATAAAATTGTTTAAAATTGGATATATAAAGGAAATATAAAATTGTTTACAATTGTATTTTTTTAGATGAACTACAGTTTATTGACTGGGAGATTGACAGTGACAGGGAAGATACTAGTGAGTATAATGAATTTGAAGATGGTGAGAGTGTTGTGGAAATATCAGACTGTGCTTCTTGTTCAAGCACTCATTCTGTGACTAGTGAAGAGAGGCTCTCTGAGCTTGTGAAGGTAAGAACTAATTGTCTCAAAATTTTTCTTTCTGGTTATACATTTGTTAATCATAGCCTTTGGTGTTTCATTTTTAATTCCTTTTTCCAGGACAGTCACTTTTGACTCTTAGTGATGCTTTCATTCTTTACCTCCTTGTCTCTAAATGACAGGTTTATAATACACCTCTGAACATGGGTAACCATCTCCTCACCCACTCCCTCCACCTGCTACACATTGAACTTTTCCCATTCCTCCATTCTCTCAGGACACATGTATCATGGTTTGGTTAGATTAGTATTCAGCATTGCATAATATTCATAAAAGGCAAATATTAATTATGATTATTTTCCTTCACAACTTTTCATTTTCCTTGGAGTTAATTACTTTGGGTTTTTGTTTGCCTAACTTTATTTATTGTTAATAAAACTAAGTTTTTGCCATTGTTTAGCTCTCCTGTTAAGGTTTTTCAGGCAATGTAGGCATTCTAGCAGTTTTGTCTTTTTGGAGAACTTGTTCCCACAACCTCCTAGCTGCTCTAATTTGAACTCATCCTCTCTGCTTTGTGGATGTAGCCATCCTTAGGTCTCTCTTCATCATCTTCCTGGTAATTCCCTTCACTTCTCTCCAATGTGGAGCAACTTTATCCTGGATTCCATGTCTTCTTCTTTCTTGGTTTTCACACTCAGTATGATTGAGCACATCTTCTAATAGCTTTCAAGAGAGGATTTATGGAAAATAAATAGCATGTCAGAAGATGCAGTTATCACACTTTGATAAGTGGATGGCAATTTATATAGAATTTTAGGTTGGAAATTATTTTTCTTCACAATTTTGAAGGCATTATTTCGTTGTCTTCTAGTTCCAAAGTTGCTGTCAAGAAGCCTGAAGCTCTTCTCATTCTTGATTTTTAAAAAAGATTTATTTATTTGAGAGAGGTGTAGGGAGGGGCAGGAGAGGGAGAGAGAGAATTCCAAGCAGACTCTGCTGAGCACAGAGCTCAATCTCAGGAACCTGACATCATGACCTGAGCTGAAATCAAGAGTCAGCTCTTCAACCGTCTGAACCGCCCAGACTTCCCTCTCATTCTTGATTTTTTAATATTTTCTCTTTATCACTTCTTTTAAGCAGTGTGATTGTGATTATACCTACATGTGGTATTCTGCTTGGAGTTTATCAAGTTTTTTGAATATTTGGTGAATTGGGTCCAAGCCCTTGCTGAGGTTTGGTAATTCCCTAGGAGGACTCTCAGAATTTAGTGTACAGTCATACTCAGGGCTATGATTTATTATAGTGAAACAATACAAAGCAAAATCAGCAATATTTAAGAGTCCTATTGTAGTGGAGTCACACAGGATATGCTTAATTGCTCTAGCAATGAGTTTTGACAACCTCTGTAAAGTGTTGCCTGCCAGGGGAGCTCATTGGTGACTCAGTGCCCAGAGTTTTTATTGGGGGCTGGTAAAGTAGGCACTCCTTCTGCCTTGCATGTTTTAGAATTTCAGATTTTAAGAAGGCAAACAGGTATTCAGCCTAAGCCATATTGTTTGCACAGTTTAGGCAGAGGGAGCCGCTCTTACCATTAGGGAATGATGGTAACTCTCCTGATGTCTAAATAACCAGAGGTAGGCAAGGACCAACATTATAAGCAGGCCTTTCTAAGGATACCCATCTTAGGTCAGCTTTGTTAACTCTCTTCTTCACATAATGGATTTAAAGTTTTAATCACATTTGGAAAGGTTTTTGCCTTCAACATTTTTTTTCTGACATCCCTTTTCCTTTCCTTTTGGAATACAATTATAGGTATATTAATGAGGCTGCTTCATGTTGTATCATGGGATCATTGATGCTGTGTTCACCCCCCCTTTCATTTTTAATGGTTTCTATTGCTATATTTTTCAAGTTTAATATCTTTTTTCTCTCAGTGTCTAATCTGTTAAACTATCCAGTGTATTTGTCATCTCTTAAAGTTTGATATGAATCTTTTTATATTATCATTCTTAACCTCATATTTTTTTCTGTGTTTTGAAAATATGGAGTATAATTATAATAGTTGTTTTAGTGGCTTTTCTGTAAATCTACCATTTGTGTTATTTCTGTGTCTGTTTCTGTTGATTAATATTTCTCTTCATCGTAGGTTATATTTTTCTGCTTCTCTGCATGCCTGAAAATTTTTGAGTAGATACCAGACATTGTGAATTTTATATTGGGTGCTGGATTTTTAAAAATGTCTTTAAATATTTTGGGACTTTATTCTCAGGTGCAGTTATTTTGGAGACAATTTCATCCTTTGGATGTTGCTTTATGATTTATTAGATGGGTCTGGAGAAGTGTTCAGTATTATGTCCCATTATCTTTTTGAGTATTCTGCTAATGCTCTTACTTTTCCAGTCTGCCTGGCAAGAATAGCTGCCATGTCCTGACCCTGTGTGAGCACTGGGTGCTGTTCTCCAGATGATTCTTCCCCTTGTATACTGATCGCACATGCTGATCAGAAGTCTGCTGAATAGTTGAGGGGGGATTGCTATAGTTTTCTAAGTAGCTCTGGTTTTTCTGTTACTCCATCCTGTGAACTCTAGCTACTTTTGTGGACTCTCAGTTCTGTCTCTTCCCAGGGGTTCCACCTCAGTTCCCCTTTTCTACTGTGTGGTTTGGAAATTTTTTTAAGAAAGTAAGCTAGGGCAATTGTGGAACTCAATTTTTATTTCCTGACTTTCAGGGATTATGTTTTTGCCTGATGTTCAGTGTCTTAAAAACCATTGTTTCATGTATTTTGTCTGGGTTGTTCCCTTCCTTCCCTCCCTCCCTCCTTTTCTTCCTTCCTTCTCTCCTTTCTCTTTCTCTCTCTTTTGTTTTTTGTTTGTTTTGGTGTTTTAAGTGGGTTCCATTTGCTATCATTCCATCTTGGCTACCTTCCTGATCTTTCATGCAGTCCAGCACATGATAAGATGCTCATCATCATTAGTCATCAGGGAGTTGCAGATCCAAACCATGATGAGATACCACTTTATACTCATTAGGATGGCTATTATCCATAAATGGAAAAAAAAATGAGAAATTGGAACCTTTGTACATTGCTGGTGGGAATGTAAAATTGTACAGCCACTGTGGGAAAGTTTGATGGTTTCTCAAAAAGTTAAAGATGGAATTACCACATAATTCAGCAATTCTACTTCTGGATATATACCCAAAAGAATTGAAAGCAGGGACTCAAACATTCTTGTACATCGATGTTCAGAGCATTATTATTCACGCTGGCTGGATGGTGGAAACAACCCAAATGTCCATCAACAGATGAAAAAATAAACAAAATGTTGTATATATGTACAGTGGATTATTATTCAGCCTTAAAAAGGAATGAAATTGTGGGATGCCTGGGTGGCTCAGTTAAGTGTCCGATTTTGATTTTGGCTCAGGTCATGATCTCAGGGTTGTGAGATCAAGCCCCACATTGGTCTCTGCATGGTGGGCATGGAACCTACTTAAGATTCTCTCTCCCTCTGCCCCTCCCCCTTCCCCTCTCTCTCTCTCAAAGGAAAAACAAGAATGAAATTCTAATACAAAAAAAAAAAAAATTCTAATACATGCTACAATATGGATGAATATTGAAAACCTTATTATAGATAAAATAAGCCAGACACAAAAGGACAAGTGCTGTATGATTCAGTTTATATGCAGTACCTAGAATAGGCAAATTCATAGAAACAGAAAATAGAATAGAGGTTACTAGGGGCTGAAGAGTAAGGGGAGTTATTTTTAAATGTGTACAGAGTTTCTGATTGGGATAATGAAAAGGTTCTAGAAATGGTCAGTGGTAGTGGTTATAAACATGAATGTACTTAATGCCACTGAGGTGTACACCTAAAAGTGGTTAATATGGTAAATTTTTTGCTATGTATATTTCACCACAATAAAAAAATGAAAAAATATATCTTTATTTTAAAATATTTTTCTACCATTAAATTTTATGTTTCTGAGGACTTTTTATTGTTGATATGGTAAAAATGTTTCTAGAGAGAATGCTAGATGATAAAGCAAAAGACTTACTGTACATGCAGTAAAATCTTAACTCGAGGATCCCAAAGGACCATTGAGAATCCCAAGACTACTACCAAAACCCCTTGGAATAAATCATATCTAATTAGACCAGGAAGTGTTGTGCCATGACCTAAAAGTTTTTCTTGACCTTTCAGTATAGGGACTAGACTAGTAACCCTTATTTCTATGAACTTCTTCAGTGTGAAAGAAAACCTTCTGTAATAGCATGGTCTTACTTTAGTACATATCACATTTTAAGATTATTTATTTATTTGTCAGAGAGAAAGAGAGCACACCAGCAGGCAGAGGGGCAGGCAGAGGGAGAGGGAGAAGCAGACTCCCCACTGAGCAGAGAACCTGATGTGGGGCTTGATCCCAGGACGCTGGGATCATGACCTGAGCTGAAGGCAGATGCTTAACCAACTGAGGCACCCAGGCATCCCTTAAAGTTTTTGTTTTTAAAGATTTTATTCATTTATTTAACAGAGCACAAGCAGCGGGTGTGGCAGGCAGAGGGAGAGGGAGAAGCAGTCTCTTCACTGGGCAAGGAGGAGCCTGACACGGGGCTCGATCCCAGGACCCTAGGATTATGACCTGAGCTGAAGACAGGTGCTTAATCGACTGAGCCACCCAGGTGCCCCCAAATTTTTTCTTAATGTTAATTGTGGTGGTGGTTTCAGTGGCTGAAATATCTGTTACTTCATGTGTGTGGCTTTTTAAAGCACCTCATTTCTGTTGAGAAAGATGGGACTTTTGTGCAGAGCTTCATATCATAGGCTACTTGTTTTTATAATTTTAGAGTTTGATATTTCATGAGCAGGTTCTGTACTTATAAGAAGGCATTTAATAAAATTTATGAATTCCTTTTTCTTATTTTGAATAGAACGAATGATGGATTTGTTCTCATCATAGGTTATTGCCATCACTAAATAAAAAATTTAGTATTTTACTCTTGTCACAAACTTTAATTTTTTTATTAGAAA